TGTGTGTGTGTGTGTGTGTGTGTGTGTGTGGCCAGCTCAGCTCAGCCCACCAGGGGGCAGGGGCTGGCTGGCATGTGGTGCTGGGGGATTGAACGTCGGTCCCTGTGCTTTGCTAAGCTTGTTTTAAATAGGTGCTTTAGACCACTGAGCCATCTCACCAGCCCCATGAAAAATATTTCTGACTTACATTTATCATAAAGTCTCAGAATCTGGCTTTCAAAGTCTATTAATTTAGGGTTTCTTGGACCAAAATAGATCAGAAAAAACCCACTAGGCTAGGGTATGGGACGAGAAAAGTAGAGGCTGAGAGGCACACACAGCAACAGGATTTAAATGACAAAGTTTCCCAGCAAAAGGGAAACTGAAAATATTTTATGAACTGAAGGGATTAACTTCATTTATCTGGAACTTAATGAGCCAATTATACTACTGTTGAAAACAGGATCCTTTACATTTCCTGCCACGTCTCACCACACTTCTCACCTAATCTCTAAGCCCAGCTCTAGTCATACCTTGATGCTGCTTGAAACTCAAATTTATTACTGGGTGCATTTTGATTCAAAATTTGTTCTAGTACCCTTTATTTGTATGGTACTTGAGGCACAAGCTACAACCTGGTGGCTCACTGCCCTTTCCAGACAAAACAGTGTTTGGTACTTGTCAACTGTGGTATTCACTGCACCTCTTGGGACCAATTAATGATGAGTACTGAGGTGCCACATATAAGATTGGTGGCTTCTAACTTCTGGGATCTGACAGATTATAGAATGAGATTTCTCAATTCTAGGTAGTGCAACTTCCCTCACATCACAAGCACTGGAGTTTAGAGTCAGTCTAGTCCTGAACACATAATCCTTTGGTTTGTCCTACTATTTAAATAGGAATTTTTTTTTCCTGCAAGTGAAACTGAACTACTAAGTATTACCACTAAAACTGTATAAACACTCAAGAACTGCCATGAGGTACGCGATGGAACCTGACCTGTAACACCATGTGCGTTGGTCCCAACCAGCCACCACTAACCGATCTTTTGCAGTTCAGTGAATCAAATGTAAAACATCAAACTATTCTTTAGTTATTACATGGGCATTATTTAAAGAACTAATAACATTTTTTAAAAAGTCTTTAGAAGAACAACTCTACTGTTTAAATACTTTTATTATTTTTCTCACTTAACAATGGGGACACATTCTGAGAAATGTCATTAGACAATCTCTTGTGTGAGTATCATGACTTGTACATATACAATCGAAGACAAGTACTACCTCACTAGGGGATAATTTTATGGACCCCTGTCATACATATGCAGTCTATCATTGACCCAAATACTTCTACTACTTCTGCCAGTACCTGAGCATTCTGCACACAAATAAACGTAAATGAACCTTCCATGCAGGGACGACGGGGAGTACAGATAGGCAGATACTCCTCAGTATAAACAGGAGCTGCCAGTGATGAAGCAGGCCAGCTAGAATAAAACACTTAACATGTGCAAAGGCAAGGAAGTGCAATCCAGTATTGCATTTGTGGAAGACTCACACACACTGTGGGCTGAAGCACAGGACATGTGTACAGGGCTGATGTGAAACGAACTGGTACTGGACAGAAAAACAGGTCAACAGAAATCTTGCAAGGAGTTCAGATTCAAAGGAAAGCTATAAAGAAAAGACTTTGAGAGGAAATAATCACTTTTGTGTTTTAGGAAGAGTTCTTGGCAGCAAGAGTAAGCCAAGAGGCTTGGGTGGGAGATCAGGAATTCAAGGCCAGCCTCGGATACAGGGGAAGTCAGCCTGCGGCACACAGACAAACCCTATCTTCAAAACACAAAACAATAAAAAGGATGATAGAAACTTCATTCTAAGTATGAGAATGAAGTGAAAAGGAAAAGATTGGAACTGAAATAATAATGATAAAAAAAACCACCAGAAGATGTTAAGTGATGTCAAAGATGTAAAGTAAAACAGACCTGCCATATAGGTGCAAGATAAAAGAAAATAAAGTTACCTATAATAAATATCAGTGAATTAGTAATATTAATGTGTCATTAATCAAAGTAAGGAATACAGAAGATTAATCTTAAGGGATATTGCTGAACTTAATAAACTTATATAACAATTTGTAAAAGTTTAAGTGAAATGCTTTAGATAGGAAAGAAACTGAAATCTTAATGTATGAACAATGTTTCAAGAAAAAGAATTTAAGCGATATATGTAAAATAACCTAAATAAAGTTCAGTAATAATTTCAAGGTAGTTATATAACTCAGGTCTGGACATTTCCTCAAAACAATCTGTGACCTATCTACACTATC